ATTTTATATAAAATATATAGACACATTTATTTTCTTTGATAAATTTATTTGTTACATATCTTTCTTTTGATATTACTTAATAATATTTCAATGTTCTAGATCTAAACAAAAATGTCTCAGAGGGGCAGAGGAAGTCGTGGGCGAGCCATACAGCAGCGTACAGGTAGTTCGCAGCAGGAACAGAAACTTCCTCATGCTCAATCGTCATCGAGCAGCGGGGCTGTTCGCAGACCGGGACAACCTGCTGCGCAAGCCTCTACAGTAAATAATATTTATGCTATCATCAAATATTAACATATAATTATACAACAATGGAATTTTAAAGTTATAGTAATGAAAAGATTTATATTGAAGATATACAACATTATATTTTTCTTTTGTCAAATTATGATAATAACTTCCATAGTTATGTTTATATAGATAGTTGCCTTTCATATTCAATTCTTGCATATATAAAGTGCTATTTATATATTTGAGTCATACATATTTGCTAATATAAAAATGTTAATATGATTAATTTAGAGAATTATATTCCATCCAATAAATATGTTCCAATATCTATTATATATATTAATGTACTTTCTTTTGTTCTTTGCAAAGTTTTTTGTACAAAGCAGGACACAGGTTTAAAATGGCTTGACTAAGGTTAGTAGCGGTATGAAATGTCATTTGCAATCATATGTTTCTTGTGGAAAATTATTTGAAATTTATTTGTATAATTTGCTTTTGAAAATGTACCACTTGTATTAGTGTTTTAACTGATTAATTGACCAATATTTTGGCAGTAAGCTTGCTGTAAGCTTGTTTTCAAATTTGGCGTTCTATCTAATAAGTTTATTAGTTATTATATATTATATATTATTATATATTTATTTTTTTTAATAAGTTTATCGATGCAATGTAACTACATTGTAAATGTAAGTTACATTGCATTGATATGCTGATTATATTCACATAAAATATATAGCATTGTATTTATTGCAATTGGTGATGGAAGTAAATTTTGTAATAGAGCACTGGTGGACGCGGCCAAAAACACATTGGCGAGAAAGGTGATAGCGCAGCAGTTGGACAGCTAGGCAGAGGCATAGAAAGAATGGCAATTCAACCTGGTTCGTTTTATTATATTATTATTTTCAGATCTTCAATACAAATGTATAATAAATGCAGTTTGCATTAGTTGTATAATAAATTCTCAGATACTCTAGCATGATTCTTTTTGGGCATGAAACTTATGACAAACCGCACTATCATGTGTAAAAATTGCATTGATGTGTACATTTTTGACAATATTGCACACAAGCCGAATTTTTTGATGCAAAAAAACATATATATGGTTTTCTGCATATGGCACGTCATTCTCTGAATATTATTTATAGCTTCAGATATTTTTAGAATATAATCAAAATTTTTTAAAAAATTGTATCAATATTTGAAAATTTATATTTAAACATGTTCTTTTTCGATATTAAACGAGATATCGATATTAATATCTTTGCAGTTGCCGGTGGCAGTGGAGATGCGGCTGGTGCGGCAGGTGGCCCTCCACCAGTTCTGTCAAGCGGAAGAGGATCGGCTCGCGGCAAGAGAATTTTACCCGCTGACATCTTTGTCACAAAGCCGAGTCATATAAAAGAAAAAAAAGGTATTTACATTTATTTCTTGCTATTCTTAAATCTATTATTGTTATTTTTTCTAGAAAATTGTTAATCTATTTTCTCATATATATATATATATATATATATATATAATAAAAAATTAATGTACTTGAAAAAAATGTTGAAAAATTTGTCAAAGAGAATCTGTAGAAATAATATTTAATATAATATGAAAGAATATATACATATATATATGTTCATATATTTTCTTTCATATTATATTAAAATTCTCCTGCAGATTTTCTCCGACAAATTTTTTAACATTTCTTTAAGTACATTAAATTTTTGGAGTACTCTGTACTTTCGATATTAATGATATTTTTGTTTTACTTCAAAAATTACATTTTATCTTCTTTTTATTTTTTTTCTGAACACGATTTTTAGGAACTTCCGGCAGTAGAATAATGTTACAAACAAATTACTTCAAGTTACTTAAGGCGACTGATTGGGCCATTCACCAGTATCGCGTCGATTTTGCGCCCGAAGAGGATCGCACAGCTGTGCGTAAGGGTTTACTCAAACTGCATTATAAGAGTATCGGCCCGTACATCTTTGATGGCACTGTAATGTACACAAGTCATCGATTGCCTGATGTAAGTAATATATGTATGTTTAGTATACATCTTCTGAATGTCGTTTCGAATTGTATTTTTCTTCAACATTTTTATAAGTAATAATCGGTACATTATTTAGCTAATGACATTTACGTCAACTCGACAATCGGATGAGCAACATATAACGATCACTGTCCGTCTTGTTGGTGATATGCTGGTGGGAGATATCCATTATATCCAATTCTTTAATATTATTATGAGAAAATGTTATGAGTTTATGCAATTAAAATTGGTTGGCCGCAATTATTTTGACCCTGAAAGTAGAGTGAGTATAACTCCAGATGGAATTACCATTTTATTTAACACTGCGAGAAATAATCAGTGCTTGCAATATAATCGCTTAAATGCAGATTACCTTGCCGGAATATCAATTGGAATTATGGCCAGGATATGTGACATCTATTCGTCAACACGAACGCGATATATTAATGTGCGCCGAAATAACAAGCAAAGTTATGCGGTTAGATACTTTGGTGGATATCCTGAATTCCTGTTATCAAGAAAATAATCAACGATACAGAGTAAGTTAGACTTTACTCTAAAACTGCTTGGACTTCACTATGAATTTTTGCATAAAAATAGGTCTCGTATTCTTTTATTCATTTTTAAGAAAGATTTAATGAAAAATTATATATTTAAGTATTCATATAAAATTTTTTTAAAATTTAATTTAATTTAATTTTTTTTTTCCCCTTCATTTTATTGCTATTTAACTTTTAATTTTATTAAAATTGTGTGGATACAATAAGCGTGTTTTTATATTTTTCGATTTTATTGCAAAAATGTATATGTGTATAGGAAAATTTCGCCAACACTGTAATTGGTACAGTAGTTCTTACTCATTATAACAACAATACATATCGCATCGAAGATGTGGACTTTTCTACGACTCCTGCTAGTTCATTCGCATTGAAAAACGGCGACAAAATAACATATATAGATTATTATAAAAAAAAATATGGAATAGCCATAAGAAATCAGAGACAACCCATGCTTGTAACTAAATCTAAAACAAGAGATCGACAAGCTGGAGAAGCGGAACGAGTGTATTTGGTACCCGAGCTATGTCGGGCGACAGGTGTGTCATTACAATTATCTTATCAGCAATTTTCCCGAAATTTATATTATTCTTTGCTATTATATACGGATTTAGCGGCAGTGATGTTACTTTCTTGTTATAAATATTTATCTATATCTTCTGTTTATTGATTTAATTTTCTAGTTGCAATTTCTTTTGTATTATAATTTACAGGTTTGACTGATTCCATGAGAGAAAATTATAGGCTTATGTCAAGCGTGGCTACACATACCCGTCTCAATCCAAGAGCGCGTATTGGGAAATTGATGAACTTTAATCAAAGACTTCACGGAACGGATAAGATAGTAAAAGAACTTTCCGAGTGGAATTTGCAATTAGATAATAGGTTACTTGATATACCTGCGCGTGTACTACCCACTGAGCAACTTCGATTTGGTGGAGACTCATATATCACAACTTCACGCGAGAACAAGGGCGACTGGTCAAGAGAAATGCAAACTAAAAAATGTTTAGTTTCCAAACAATTGCGCGATTGGATTATCATAATTACGGAAAGAGATAAAAATGCTCACCAGGTAGTTTAAAATTTTTATTTGCAATATATATACAATATGTTTGCTTTCACATTATATGTATATATATATATTACTTATATTATTATATATTTTTATGTTCTCATTAATTTATGCATGTATAGAAAAAATTATCTTAATCCTGAAAAATTGCAAAATGTCTGTTTTTATATTAATATTCTTTCTTCCTTTCATTTTTGGAATCATTATAGTCTTTATTATTTATATTTTTTTAGTACAACTATTACTCATTCTTTTATATAGTATATATTATTATTATTACTAGTACTATTATCACTATTATTACTAGTACTATTATCACTATTATTATTACTGCATATACAATATAATTGAAAACGGAGAAAAGATTTTGAAAAATTATTGATCTCTTAAACAGATACAGCTGACTATGAAGCATGATAATGCGAATTTAGATTAAAACATATATTACATTAAATATATGTAACGGAAGTTGTATTTTATCTTAATTTATAATATTTTATTTCAGAAATTCGTAAATACTTTAGTGAAAGTATCTAAGGGAATATCGTTTTGGGTAGAAGAACCGCTAATACACACTATTCGCGACGACAGACCAGGTACATATAGTGAAACTCTAGAACAAATTCTAAGCAAAAAAATACCGCAATTGGTATTTTGTGTGGTATCGAACAATCGCAGCGATCGTTACTCTGCAATTAAGAAGAAGTGCTGCGTAGATCGACCTATACCATCGCAAGTTTGCTTGATTAAAACTATGACGCATAGGAACGTCATGTCTATCGCTACGAAAATAGCGATACAAATGAATTGTAAATTAGGCGGAGCACCATGGTGCGTGGATATTCCGTTGGACGGGATGATGGTCGTTGGATTCGACGTTTGCCATGACACAACTGTTAAAACCAAAGATTTCGGTGAGTGAGAATTCTCACTGAATTTTAGAATTTTTTGTGAAAGTTGGTATTGCATAAAATTGCAGTAGTACTAGTTTTTAAAATTAAATCTCGATTTATTTACTCGCCATTTGTTATGATTTATTTCTTAGCTCAATCTTCGATTAATTCTTGAATTTTCCATTTTCGTCATGTCTTAACGTTTCGTCATGTATAATTTTTCGATATTTCTTGATGAGAAAATGTTATATATCAAAGGAAATGAAAAAATTTTTCTCAATATGTAATATATTATGTGCATTGGGATTTGATAATCTTTCTAAACATTGATTTGTGTCATTGCAGGCGCTATGGTAGCGACCCTAGACAAATGTATGACGAAATACTTCAGTGCAGTGAGCGCGCATGCAAACGGTGAAGAATTGTCAAACGATCTTTCTCAAAACATTTGTAAGGCCGCGCAGGCCTACTATATGCTGAACAAAGCTTTACCGTCGCGCATTGTGATCTATCGCGACGGCGTTGGCGAGGGACAGATACCGCAGGTGATGGAGCACGAAGTAGTGCAGATAAGAAAATCTCTTGACGTGTTGTATGGGGGCCCGGATAAATATAAAATGGCGTTTATAATCGTGACGAAGCGATTGAACACGCGATTCTTCTACAACAACGATAATCCAGAAGCAGGCACCGTGGTCGACGATGTTATCACGAGTCCGATCAAATACGACTTCTTCATTGTGTCGCAACATGTGCGACAAGGCACGATATCACCCACCTCGTACAGTGTAATCTTTGACAATCTCGGTATAGATGCGGACAAGATACAACGTATGTCATACAAATTAACCCATATGTACTACAATTGCTCGAACACTGTTAGAGTACCGGCACCCTGCCACTATGCTCACAAACTGGCGTTTCTTGTAAGTAGATTTATTCATCGAGCGCCGGACTCGCAACTGCAAAATTCATTATACTTCTTATAATCTTTCTTTTATGTTTCAACATTATTTTTATTATTATTATCATATTTCATCCTTTTAGTTTTATACGTACTTATATTATAGATACTACTTTTATTTTGTTTTTTATTGACGTATTATATCTGAGATACAAACTACTTATGGGTATAGTATTTTTTTAATTTGTGATTATTTGAAGATAAAACTTCAAAAGAGAAAGTAAAGAAGCAAAAATAAGAGAAATTAGAAATTATAAAAATTTTTCTACATTAAAAATGACGTTTTATAAAAGAATAATAATAAAGTTAAAAAAGAAAAGATAGAATATAGTCAGAACTTGCATCAAGTAAGTTCGGTTAGGATTTTTGCTGTTTCAACTTTTCAGATGATCCTCGACTTTCATAATTCCTTCAAAGATAACCAAATAGGATTATAAATTAATCTTTTCACATATAAGCCGTCAATAGTATAAATTGGAAAAATTATATGAAACATTTTTTTTCGTTATTTTTTAATAATTTTTTATTATATTATATTATAATTTACTTGGATGGTTAACATATCTTACTTTCCCAGTCTCAAATTCTTTTGATAATGAGCTATTAATTTATGAATTTGAAAACGAAATATTTGGTATAACAAGGTGTCTACTCCCTGGAAAAACATGGAAAACCTCGGGAAATTTTTTTTTATACCTGGAAAAGAATTCTCATGGAATTTTGTTGGGACACAAGGATTTTTTTTTTTTTTTTTTTTTTTTGCTTTTTTTTTTTTTCTCTCTCTCTCTCTCTCTCTCTCTCTCTGATAAAATTTTGCTCTTGTATGGTAAGCAATAGACAATCCATCAATAAGCCATGTTGTATAGACACATTTGCACATTTGTTTGTAATTTTGTATTAAATTATAACTATGTTCAAATAGTGGCGTTTTATTTGCTTCATTTTATATCGAGTAGAATGCATAAAATAATAAGGTTGTAAGTTTAACAAAAGTTTCGTGAGTAAATTAAAAGAAAATTGCCTTCCGAAAGCGCAAATTAAAAAAAAAATTGTTAGTTAAATTAATTTTATTTTACATGAATAAATATTTGTTGCTAGATTGTATAAAAAAAGAATGAGAAAAAGAGTGGCAGGGACAAGAATCGAACCCGGGTTGGATGCGTGATAGTCACGCGCTATAAAAAACATATATATATATAATCTCATTATATAATAAAATATTTAATATCTTACCAATATTATACTACCAAATGCGAACGATTAATATGTAAAAAAATTTATAATTTAATATATAGCACGGAATTAAGTATATCTTATTCAGGGTTTTACGACACTCGTAGTCAATTGTCGATAATAAGACTTTTTTGGAACTTGTGATACTAACACTGTTTCCAAGAGTGTCATTCCATACCTCGTATATTACTACAATCATCGATTTTAAAAATGAATATATATTTATAGTTTTTTTTTTGTTTTTTTGTTTATTTGCAATGAGAATTGCATTTAAATTGAGATGAGATAGACATATTATGTTAATTACCATAAGTAACATAAATTTTAAGATATTTTGTTCTATTTGCAAAGTTACATTTATAAAATATGTTTCTTCTGATTGCAGAATAATTTGATTTGTAACGTAATTTAATTAAAATTGATTAAAATATATATTTTCATTATTTTTTAATAATCGATCAAAGATTATTTTTGATGCCACCAACGAAGAATATTATAATTCCATGTTTGGCTGAAAAATGTTTTGCTAAAATTGGATTGTATAAAACATGTATTGTTAAAAAAGTTATTGTGTTTACATTAATTTGGATATAATTTCTGAATTCTCACAATTCTACTTTTTGGAGAAAAACACGACTTTCTTGAAAAATTAATATTAATACTTTTCATTGGTGCCAACCAATCATCCCTTGATTTTTTTTTTTTTTTCCAAATTGTTATAACGCTGTAAAGAGTATATATATTTTCATAATGATTGAATCAATTTAATCAGTTTCACGTACCAATTTCTGACATAAAACAATTTTTTTTTCATTATTCAAAATAGCATACTTCATACTAAGATGTGCTATTATATGTTTATATTGTATAATTATCAAATTTTTTTATATTTGATTCCACTTATATGTACACATACATATAATTTTAAAAAAAATGATGACATGTATGCAATGCATATTTAAAATTTGTAAGAAAGTATATTATATGCGCATATAAGGTAATTGTTTTAGAATACTTAAACAACTTTTAATCTGCAAATTCAGGACATTGAAAAATACCTCATTTTTAAGATCATAATAAAATAAAGTATTTTTCGAATCTTCTTTTACCTTAAAATTAATCGTGGACACAATTGTAATGATCGAATGTTCAAACATCATAAAAATTGTGAAAATACAGGAGGTAGGTCTTAGGATAAAGTACGAAAAAAAAAACAAAAAAGAAACAAGTGACGTGACTTCGTTTTAATGGGTGGTCTTGTTACAGACACTGTACAAAGTATGCATTGTTCTCAAGATGTCGGTAAACGCGAGATTACCATTTTTCGCTACTCGCACCTCCCCAGCTTTGAGTAGCGGGGGTTGCCACAGGTGTTGACCACTCCTCTGGAGGCTAGACAAGTAAACAATCAATTGATAATCATTATCGTATCATTTAATATAATTATATACAAAACCTAATGAAGAAGTTATGGAATATATAATATATATATATATACACACACACGCGCGCACGCACACACACACACACACACACACACAAATAAATAATATATATATATATATATCAAGGGAAATATGTCGACTTCATTACAAATCACGTAAAAATGTCATAGGATCATAACTTAAATTTAATAAATCGAAGAAATAGATTTCCGAAGTGAATGTCTTACCTGCGCGGCCCAGTCACCGCTTGGTTGGAATGGCGGCGCGGCGCCAGCTGCCGGGGGAATAGCAGCGGCCGCCGGAGGTGCTACGTCGTCGGCCCAATTCTCGGTGGCCACGGTGGTCGATTCTACCTCGTTCACCCAGCCAGGTTCCGGAGCAGGGGCAGTCTCTACCGGACCCGTGAATTCCTTCGCCGGCGCGATCTCCTTCGCAGCTTGTTCCTCCTTCTCCGCCTGGAAAGAAGAGAATTTCACACGTCACGTCGATTACTCTGATCCGACAAGTACAGCAAAAAACATTTTTTTTTTATCTTGTCAGAAAAGATTAAGCCACAAAAAACCAACAGATTTGTTTCTGGATCTATTATTGTCTCTCATCATTATGATAAATATGGAAAATAAATAAAAAAATGAAAGAAAGCAGGAGAAAAAAGCGACAAAATTGTGCACGAACCTCTTCAGGATCTCTGTAGAAGAAGAGATCGACTACCACATCCCACTTGGTTTCGCGCGGGATAGATCCTCTCAACCGAAGCACCTCCCTAGCGAGCAGCCACCACATCAAACCAACGGTATGCAGGCTTTTAGTGTTGCACGGGATCGCAATGTCCACGAAGCGCAGCGGCGAATCGGTGTTGCAGAAAGCAATTACCGGGATATTCACATAACTGGCTTCGGTGATGGGTTGATGATCGGTGGATGGATCTGTGACGATCAGCAGACGTGGTTCACGGAAAGCAGCCTAAAAGAAAAAGAACCACTAGGATATGCATTCAACTTATTTTTCCTCAAAATATCTGACAACATTGAAAAAAAATCAGAAAAGATTAAGCCAAAAAAAAGCCAACAAGTGTCGATTCTGGAATAGAATGTTTCATCATTCCTAATATGCTTTTAATGCAATATAAAATTAAATGAAACGTTCGCTCATTCGCTATATTATTTCACCTGGATCTGATTAGTAAATGCGCCGGGAGTGAATCGTCCAGCGATGGGGGTGGCGCCAGTATGGGCTGCGAACTTCAGCACTGCTCTTTGGCCCGAATGACGGCAACTGATGACGAAAACCTCGCTAGGATGCTCGATGGCGACGATTGCACGAGCCGCGAGCAGTAACTTCTCCCAGGTGTGACGTAGATTGATGACATTTACACCAGCACCTACAATTATAGAAATATACTATATAAAAACCATAACATAAGATATTTAAATAATGTTTGAAATACTTGAATAACTTGCCATCAACTCTTTTCTTGTAGACGTACTGTTCCATCTGGAAGTTGACGTTCTCAGCACCCAGGTGGGTACCAGCTGCCAACATCTTGGTAACATCGTCCTCTTTGAGGGCTAATACATCTAAACCTCCTGACATTTTAACGTTGTGATTGAATTACGAATCAACCTGAAATAAAGGTTTGTTTCTACTTGTAATACCTAAAAAGTTTGTGCAAGTCTTTGTGTCCATTCTAACCACATAAATTTTCTTAATTACCCAATATATATATTTTGTATGTATTAAAATATATTTTTTTAAATATATCCTCTCCAAACTACTTTTATTTTGCAAAAACAAAAAAAAAGCAATTGTTGGAAAGTTTAAATATAATCTTTATAAATGAAATAAATCGACTTTTATGCTCTCTAATTTTAAAGTCTGTATAAAAATTCTATAAAAATCTATGAAAAAGTTCAAAAACTGATTATAAATTACATATATA